CGCAACAATATCTTTATTTGTATTAATATATTTCCAAACATGATTTTTTCAGACCTTATTAACGTATTCTAAACATTTTACAATCCAGTAAATAAAATGTTTTTCATCCTAATTACTGTTTTCACCTTCACTACTATACTTCGTCTGTACGAGTTATAATATCACTATCATTTTCGCTGTTTACATTTATGCACTGGGTTTAATCAGACTCTATAAGAACGATGTTCCACGTCCATACTGTCTTTATAACTTAAGCTGATAGCTATGATTTTGTAATATTGCTTGAAACCACAATTGTAATTTTAACAATAGCTTGTGAGGACTGGTTAATCAACCTTACGCCACACATCTTGACAGAATTTCCACAGACCCATTACTGTACATGGGCATTAGCTTCCAGGATCATTGTAAGAATGCCAAAAGCATGAAGTTCCATTGGAGCTTCATCAAGGGTCTTTAAGTACATGTGATCGAAAATTATAACTGTTAACTAGTTTTTTCAGTTATCTTTGTTAAGTTTGAATCAACTTCAGACTCCTTGTTATTATCTTGTCAGTGGTACCATGACATATGTCTAGCTTTATTGCAATGGACTGTGTGAGTCAGAGAATTATCATACAATTTGATAAAGGTATTGCTGTGGGTTGGATTAGGTGCTTTAAACATTTGAAGTTTCCACTTTCGTGGAAGCTTACATTTTCTAAAGGTTTTACCTTTTATTTCTGCATTATTTTGCAACATTGTATAAATATTTCTGTAACGAAAGACTTTTTCTTCTCTACAATAATATACCTATCTGTGATAGCACTATACTGTCAAAAGTCGGGAATTTGCAACAAGCCACTACATTAACATCAACTAAAATTATATTAATCCAGTCAATATGCAAAATAATTTGTTATTATATATCATTTTACCTCTGACAGAAACATTCAAATAATAACCATTATTAGCTAATTACAAATATTAAGGCCTGAAGCCAAGCAATTCTCCCCAATTTCAATTTTATTTCTGATTGTGCAACAAAATCGTGAAACTACAAATCAAGTAGGCTATTTGTTTGTATTCATTTATTAAAGCTAGAGGAAATGTTACAGTAACAAATGATGCATGACTAGAATACATGGCCAGTTATCCATACTTAATTCTCTTGCTTACAATGAAGGACAACTACACACTGCTTGTATCAAGTTCAGTTTTTGTGCAGTTTCATGCTTGATCAATATTATTAACCAATCTTCTTTGTGTCATGATTGATTTCAGATAAGTTTTAATTAATTCAAGTTGGAAAAGTTTATTTACCTACTGGCAATGGTGGTGAGAAACCTTAATGTAACAAAAGTGTTGGGAAAGAAAAATGCTAGACTGTTTTTGTACATGTTTTTCAATGTATTTTTGGAGGCCTTTTAATACATAAGAAGGCCTGCAATTCGTCATACAGTTCTCTTGCATTGACATCCTAGAAGCTTCGCTGTTAATCAAGTATAGGTTTATTTCAACATTCATATCAAAACTTTCTCTTCTTTTTTCATGAATAGATACGATTTCACAATGATTTCGTTTCTTCTGCAAGCTCCTTTGCATGTACCAGAACCTAGC